CGAAAACCACTAATCCATGGAGGGTCCCGCTTGGGATTAATATGGATTGGTGAGACATTTAATAAATAAATTGGATAAGATCGACAAGGTCTCAGTTTGAGAACAAGTCGTTCTAATAATCCAATACATTTTCAAACTAAAATAAAAAGCGAGCTCGACCGTCTTCGCGAATGCCGAAAGCCCGTTCGGGCCGGTGGCGACATACCTGACCTCACGGATGAAGCCGGCGTTCAGTAACTTTTGGGTCTCGGTGATGATGGCCTCCCGCCTCTCACCACCGACTTTCCTCTTCCTCTGGGCCACTAGATTCGCCTCCTTGTGAATTGCTAACCTGTGACAGATGAAGTCGGCGTCTATGCCTGACATGTCAGCACTGGACCATGCAAAGAGGTCAGCGTTCTTGAGGATCTCAGCTTTGAGTTGTTGTCGCAACTCCAGGTTCAACTGCTTGCTGATTTTCGTGCACTGCCCAGGAAGACTCCCGATCTGGAGGTCATCGAGCTCGTCGATGGGACTTGGTCGTTCATCATAGGAGTCGGACCTGGGGTCGAGGTCAGTGGTATCCATGTGGGTGATGTGAGCCACTATGGGGGGATCACTCCGGCAACGCTCGTCGGATGAGGAGACTTTGAGGCTTTCGGCGTAGCACTGCCGGGCTGTCTTGCCGTCAGTCCTTGGTTGCATCACATACACAATATAAATAAGTCCACGCAAAATAATGGTTCACATATTCCTCAAGCAATTCACCATGAGTCAACATCTAGATCATCAATTGTTATCATATAATATAACAATAACATTTATAAATTAATATAAAATCCAATTAATTCACCAATTTAATAGAATATTAAATCAAATAGTAAAACCCCCAATTTTTTCAAAACCTAACTCACAAGCACTTTTCTACAATTTTGTTCTCCCTCCCAGATCATCATTTTTACAAATTAATTATATATTCATAATCCTTAACACATACAGAATCTCATAATACCAATAATTCTCCAAACAGAAACAATTATAAAATTATTAAAAAATTCCACATGAACTCTTCTCCACCCATTCCCTCATGTGACTCTACACATAAATCTCCTATTTTCCCCCTACCTTGATAAGCAGTAGCTGAAACTAGAGCAGGATCTAGTTGGTCTCCTTCTCTGGGTTCCCCGTAGTCTTCAGAGAGTGTAGAATAAAAGAAGTCAAAAGTGAAAAGTGTGCTTTTGAGAGTGCCAGAGCGTTCTATTTATAGGCATCAGGTGTGGCCGGAACGACCCGTTTCAAATTCGGAACGACCCATTCTGGACTCATTCGTCATGTGTAAAATTTCACATCCAGAACGACCCATTCTAAAATCAGAACGACCCATTCTGGGTTACATTTTAACTCATAACGACCATGTTTGGAATGACCCGTTCTTAAACCAGAACGAACCGTTCCCAACTAGGGTTACAAGTCTTTTTGGTGGTTTGGAACGCCCCGTTCCCAACTAAGATTTGTAGGCAATTTTAACATTTTGGAACGGCCCGTTCCAATTTGGGAACGACCCGTTCTGGGTTACTAAATCACCCCTATAAATTTATAAAAATTACTAAATTACCCTCCATAAAAGTATGAAAACTAGGGTGTTACACAAAAAATGTCGTTCAGATGAATTTTGAATTGAATTAATGGGTGAATCTTCATTTTTATTGTTACTAGTTAATAAAGATCACAATTTTAAACATATTGTTCAAGTGCATAAAAAATGACTAATATAATTTTAAATATGCAAAGAAATGTTAGTTAGAAAGATATTATAGTTATATAGAAGCAATAATTTATCAAAAGATAAAAAAATCGTATTTGTTTAATTTTTTTAATTATTTATATTATATTTTTTTATTAGATATTATAGTATTATAAATCCACATTTTTTTTGTGAAATCCATAAAATTTATTAAAATCTTATAATATATATCATCAAAATTCATTAAAATCTAAATTATAAAATCTTAATTAAAATCCAAATTTTAAATCTTTTAAAAAAAAATCTTAAAAATTATGAAATTTTTACAACATCTTTTAAAATCTATAAAATTCACAAAATTTTTTCCACACTAAAATTATCTTTCAAAATCTCAATCTAATATATTTTCTAAAATACTAGTTATGAAATTTAAGACATTTACCCTCTCGGGCAACAAGTATCATCATTCATCAACTAAATAAAAATTTCTTTTATAATACTACTTCATCAATGAAAATTATAATACTACTTCATCGATGAAAAAATAAATATTTCAAAACATGTAACAGGTAAATATTGATGTCCTGTACAACCTCAAGCTCCTGTAATATGAGTTAATAACTTTTATGCTTATCAACAAAGGTTGATAAAAAAAACATGCTTATTTCGTACACAAATATGTATTTCAAAACAATGGAATTCATTTTAAATTATAAATTTAATAATTACTTTCTTAAGGGAACAATAAATATTACAACATATTTTTATTTATGTCTCTATATTTTTTTAAAAAGATTTAATTAAGTTTATAAATTAAAAAAATTATGATTAGCTCCTTAATCTTTTATTATTTTTATAATTAAACCCTGGAATTAGTTTATCGCACTAATTAATCTCTCTCCAAATTAAACAACAATATTTGATATTGTTATCTTGATTAAACATTAATTAGCAAAAACCCATTGACAGAAGCAACACTACAATGACAAAGTGCAAACCCTTTCGTCCGCCAGGTACATCTCTTTCTAGGGTTTTTCTTTTCAACAAATTGGGAATTTAATCGAACTCACCCATTTTTGGTGTGAAGGAAATCTATGTTTTCCGTTTGAATTATTTTGTGAACCATTTCATGAACTCAATCAATTAACTGAATTTAACCAACCATTTCATAAACCATTTTCAGAAGATAAGCATATGAGCAAACCAGTTTTGAGAAAAACTGATAATCGTGTTCTTAAGCTATACATGTCAGGTTCACTAATCCCGTCCCTTAATGGTACTCAGCTTTGCCACTAATTTTTGTTTCTGTTACGTGTGCCTTGTCTTGCTTAAAAATTTGAAAGTGAGATGAATCTCTTATTTTGGATTAGGTATCAAATTATAAAAACTGAGATGTTAAATTTCGGTTAGAATTGTTGTAACTCATCATTGGACTGGGTTAAATTTCATTTGTAATTGAGATTGTTTTTGTACATTAACTAAGATTAATTTCTTTCACACAGATACCAGAATAATGATTTTAGTTCTTCCCTTTTTATTTTTTTTAATTGTTTATTATCTAGTTGTATCCTTGTATTGTATTGCATTAGGGAACTTGATTTAGAATACAATGAAAGTTGAGGCACTATCACTGTTGTGTTCTTTTTTTATATTTTATTTCATCTTTCAGTAGTGACACTTGATCAAATGGTTGGTGCTTCATATTCCAATTCTATTGTTCCAAATATTTAGGCACTAAACAAGGTTACCTGGTTCCAATTGGTTTGAGAGGCATGAAGAGTTCCATTTATATACGAGGCTGAGCCTTTAATGTAAAAGAGATTCTTCAGGAAGGAGGTGGTTTGAATGGAAGTTCCTAGGATCACTCCACAAGAGCCATGCCCCCAATTGCTTGGGTAACCACTAACCTAGATAGATGACAAAATCACAAAATCAGAAGAACTTATGGAGCAAACATTGATATAGTTTGGTTGCTATATCACAGTTCCAATTCTTACTAGTCCCTATTAACTATATCTTGTGAAGAACTTTATATAAATAAATAACCTTGAAATTATTTTCCCTACACAAA